AAACTTGAAAATATTGTGCAATAACTTGTCAACTATGAAGGCTAAGTAAATTAGATTTTTAATTGTTTCATTTTTAATCTTTATATATAAAAAAAACAACCCGTAGTCATTCTATTTAAAACAAACACGCTTCTGGTATATTTTAACTCTTTTATGCTAAAAATTACCAACATAAAAGAAGACAACTGCTGCTGTTGCTGTTGTCCTGGTTTTTCGCGTTCAGTCAGTTTTTTTTTTCTTTAATTTAAAGCATTGAGTGCTTGAATTCTTTCTTCATTGAAGCGCGTTGAATTGCATAAGCAATCAAACTAGTCTTTAAGCACTAATTAAATTTGATGGGCGCTGGCATTTAAATATATTAAATCTCGTAATCATGTCAACAAACAATAACGGCAACAGCTGCCTCAGTTTGCATTGAAAAGAAGTGGCAGGCTATGCGCTGACGTGGAAAAATGAAACAAAAAAAGACTGACGGATAAGATAAGCAAGTTCACGTTGCATGCAATAAAGTAACTCTATATGTACATACATACAAATATATATTTACATAAATGAAATAGGGTCACAAGTCAAGTTGAAGTACGAGTGAGCGGCTTTGTTGTGTTGTGTGCGCTTCTGTAGCACTTCTGTGCCCTTAACCGACACTTCATACAAACTTTCAAGGTCGACTGAGTTTTCAATGCAAATGGTAATGTACTAAAATTCAAGCATTATTTAGCTTAAAAGTGTTTCAATTACTGCTGAGGTTAAACAGAGGAAGTTAAGAGTAGCGAATTAGTGAACTAATTTAGAATGCGAGCGGTTGATTTGTTATGCGTTTTGAAGCTTCATAGAAATTCGCATTCAATTTTGTTCTGAGAGAATATTAAGGCTGCGTTTCTTTATACATTCCGGATAATCCCATTTCACAGCCGGAATAAACAGAATGCGTTTGAAATGTACGTCAACATATCATCAGGAACGTTCTAAAGAATAAATAAACAAAAAAGTTTATTCCAAACGTTCAGAATGAATAAAGAAATGCAGCCTAAGTATTCGAGTAGCTTTTTCAGCTCACCGAGGTCAAGCTTGCCTGGAGGTCAAAAAGACAAATTCTTTCAAAAGTAGCTTCTATCAGGCCTATTTTGCGTTGGTAACCAAAATTTTGTTAGCGGTAAAAAAAGTTCCTGGTAATTTTTTCACCCTTATCGCATTCTGCGCACTGGTAAATTTTGTTCCCACTCCATAAGCAGGTAACAAAATATTGCCCAGTGAAGCATGCAATACCAGAATTTTTACAAAACTGATACTGATTTGGTCCTGCAGTTTTATAATGTTTAAAGCTTCGCATCCCCCTAACTTTGGACCTTTTGGTACCACGGTTTCCCCTCTTTGGAAACTGTATCATATTTTAGGGCATCATGAGATTTTTTCTAAATCTTGCAGTCCCAGAAATTTTTTGAGAATTTCGTTCTCCCTGTATTTGCTATAAAGGCAGGACTGAGATAAAGTCTCTGAACAAATGAAAATTCGTAATGAGTTAAATACTAAAAACGTATTGAGTGAAGATTCTGTGTTTTTCAAATGTATGAAAGAAAGGATCCACTGCGTCCCGAGCAGAGTTAACAGGCTTTGTTATTAGAACCGGTGTGCTTACTCACTGGCTTTGATGCTTTGAGAGAATGGACTGCCCTCTAGCTCAACTGATGAAAATTTGCCTTTCAGTAGAACAAGAACTTCGATCAGGCTCGTTTCTCTTACACTAATTGTAGTGGATTTCTTGTTGACATAATTTAACGAACTATTTAACGTAAAACTGTCTAGACTCTTAGTTTCACATCGTATCGTAATTTTTGAACCAGTTGGCAGTTGAAGGGTTAAAATGAAGATTAAAGGTCCTATGGGTGTGTCCTATTTAAGTTGACTTTTTCTATCAAAATGCTCCAATAAGTATAATTTAATCGTTAGGTATTAGTAGTTTTAAGATACTTTTTTTAGAGCTTTGTTACTTAAACTCTGATTACTTACGTCGCCAACTTCATTCCGCAACACTTCAGCTGCCTTGTAAACTTCCTCCTTCTTTGAAATATCGACAACATATCCTTTACAGTAGCCGCCATCAGTTTCGACGATTTCGATGGTTTCTTGTATGCCTGGAATAGCAACAAATAAACCAAAATTATATAAATTTAGAGGATTTTATGAGCTTTTCTTCAAAAGTGTCCTAACTCGAAATTCACGGTTTATTAAAAAGACGAAGAGGCAATTTTCGCTCTGATTGCTTTCAAAATATTATCACAAAATATTGCACCTGCTTTTTCTGTGAGCTTCTTAAGTACATAAGAAGTACTAAAAGTGAAAACTTTTGAAAAAATTGTGCGTTAACATCCTTTATTTATTTATTTTTAATGCTTCTTCCTTTCATGTCACAATTCCTCATAGTTTTTGTGTCTCGCATACTTACCTTCTTTATTAATATCCCAAACGATAACTTTGGTGCCCATTTTACCCAAACGTTGAGCGAGCAATCGGCCAAGTCCATTGCCCCCACCAGTTATTAAAGCAATATCTGTGTTCAATTCCTTCTCGGGGTAACCGAAGGTAATGTAGTATAAGTCCTGGAAGAAAAAGGAAAAATTATATGAATTAAGGGAATTCCAAATGAAATTTTCATAGAATAAAAAATTGAATCTAGAACTTTTTTTCTTATCTTGAATCAAACTTTTAGATCAAATCAAATATTTAGATGTTTTGCAAAACACAAACTCATCCAGAAGTGATACATTTAAAGCATCGAAGCGATTTTTTTCGGAATGAGTTTCCGTCATCCTTAATTAATTTTGGTTTGGAGACAAACCGCTTTCGGCGTTGTGCCATCTTCAGTGTAATTTTTCGGAGCTTTATGAAGTGAGATTTTCAAACAAATTTTCGATTTATGAAGCACTCTTTTTTTTCTTGAATTATGGTGTTAGTTAATACACCAAGGCATTTAGAAAGTAGGTTAAGTATCGGCGTTCTTCTCGAAATTTAATTTATAATCTTAAAACTCGAGTCAATATATTGCGCGTTTTCTTCAAAGGCCTATTAATTCAATATTTACGTTATCTTATCAAATTAAATGAATTAAATTTTTCAAATACCCGCTTCGAAACAGTAAACTTTCTTAAAAGTCTTTATCTTGATACTGGTGTTGTAATATTTAGTTTATTTTAGATATTAAATTGAATAAAATTTTTCAGACAGGTGGCAACCGCCTTCAAAAATATTTTTCGGCAGTAAACTTTCATAATCCCCTTTAGTCTGACACTCAGATTGCAATATTTAATTAATTTAATCTATTAAATTAAATTAAAATTTTCAAGCAGGTGGCAACCTTCCATGAAAATATTTTCGGCTGTAAGCCTTCTTAAACCTCTTACTTTTGACTTCCATACTGCAATATTTACTTTATCTTAACAATTTACTTAAACTGCAATATTCCAACAGGTGGCAACTCTCTAATTATAATTTTTTCTATATTTTAAGTTAGACCTCTAGCAATAGACCAGTGAAAACTGCATTCAATTTCAAGCATTAAGGTTTGAGTGGTGTTCGAACAAACATACAGACAAACAGACAAATATTCTAAAATATTTTAGATTTGACTTCTATTGCTCTAATAAAGACCCCCATATTAATTTAATGTATAGATATGTACATTCGTATTGATTTTAAAGACGTGACTTTTCCAAAAAATAGTAATAACAAAATTGGGTTGAAGTTCGTTGCTTAAGTCTTTCGTTTCGTACAAAATTTGCCAACCGCGCAAGGCACGCATTGCTGAGCACAAGTAAATTAAACGAAATATGCTAAATGTTGGAAAATTATATAAAAAAAAATTAATTGGTATCTTCTAAGCACTCAGCGGCTGCTAAAAATTAGATTCGTATACAATTCGAAGACAACTTTATGTTAAATCCACACTTATCGAGTTGCTTTACGGGCTATTGAGCACAAATGATATATTGTGTGCGACGTTTGATTTGCATAGCACAGATTTGAAGAAAAATAAAAAAGAAAAAAATGTATAAAACTAACAAAACACGCCTCATTTACATAAACCGAAGGCAGTACTTGGCGAGAGTCATACAAAGCTCTTGGAAAGCTTTTGATGAGGCAATAAACCATCGGTACACACAAAGCGCATGTGACCTTGAGCTGTGGCAAATACATGCAAGCCAAGCCACGCTAACTCCAGCCAAGCAGTTGAACTACTTTTTTTAAATATGTGTAAATTTTTTTTATTTATTTTTAGTTTTACACAATAAATCTCAAATTATGATACGCATAATTTTGTTTTTGTTTTTGTTTTTGCTTTTGATGTTTTCATGCTGATGTTTTTGCCATTATTATTGAGTTAACTATTCGTGACAAAGGCATGTCAACGTTCACTTTGTGTCAGCTTAAGCCAGTTGACTGCACACATTTACATACATACATATATATTTACGTGTATGTATGCATGTATGTAGTTATGAAGGCAGACGATTAGTCCTTATCATGTCTGCAGCTGTCAACCGGCAATGCATTTCTTTTGATGAAATATATCTGCCGTTTTTTGCGCCGTCTTTCGCTGGCCACCAGCGGCGACGTTCAGCCAGATGGAGCTTCCGCTGTCGGTCGTTACTAAAGCGTGAAGTAAGTACATACATACGTACGAAAAAACAAACAAAAAAAAAGTAGAATAAGTAATGACTAAAAAGTAGCAATGAAATCACTTGCGCTGGCTTCGCTTTACTTTTAATGGCAACTTGTAGGTTTGTAAGAAACTTAGCACAGATGCGGTAATACAAAATTGTGATTTAAAGAGTGCAGACATGCAGAAAAGCATTCGTTTCCTAAGCTACATTCAGTCATACAAAATACATTTCGAGACACTTTGTTTGCATGTCAAGTCTCGATGTCTCGGTTTTCGCTTTGTCTCGTCGCCTCGTCGCTGCGTTTAGTAGTCTTCGTTATTAATGTGAAAATAATTGTTTTACCACTTTAAATAATAATCGCGTGACGTACTCTGAATTGTAGCAGCAGCAGCAGCAGCGAGATAACTGATGAGCGACATGGGACATAATATATTTACATGCACATCGGTATTTGCACGGTGTATATGATTTGCGTTGGTATTTTCAGTGGAGCTCTGATGCCAAAATGACTAAAAAATTATCTCCGAAATAAGTCTGCTCACTAATCACAGGAAGCGACTGTTGCTACACAACAAATTTGGCAACGTTTTATTAGAGCAATTTGCAAAAAGAAAATTAACTCGGAATTCGATCTAATTATATTTTATAACTCTATAAGAAGACTTATTTACTAAAAATATGCGATGGATAATAAAAGTATTCCTTCGAAATATTTTTAATTATTTTTCTCGGCTTGGTAACCATTTTCTCAAACTTTTCGCGATTAAGTTCAGAAATGATAGTGAGGAAAAAACACACACGAGTTAGCTTGTCAATTTGAGATGAGCGGCGAGTTAAAATCGGTGTACGGAATTATCCGGTGGACGAAGTTAGCAAATATCAGAAAAGTAGCCTTTACATATGCTAATAAATATCGTGTAGGAGCGCTGTAAGCAGTTCCTGGTAAGGTGATACAGATCTGAGTACCCGAACAGACATTTGCTCGAGACGGAACCTAACCCTGGGCTCGTCAGAAGGCATCTCTATGAACTGAAAGACTGGACCTCGTACAACAACCACTGTATCCGAAACATACCGAATTAGTGTGAAGCATATGGAGATTTCCTACCACGATACCAACCACTTCTTCAAATGCCCACTCAACACAACTCAACTAACACTCCTCTTCCTCGGTTCCGACCCCGTCGAAATAGCACCTTTACTGGGATTTATTTGACTAAAACGAAATGAAACTATTTTCTCTATATATCGACACCTAAGCAGAAGATCGACCTATCTATCGTTAAGTCTTATAAGAAGGAAATCAATTACTAAGCACTAAGCCAAGCGAATAACTTTTGTGACGGTTGACCCCCCAGAATCTATGACCCTGTCGCAACTACAAGTGGATTGAGTTACGTGCGAATACCACCTCAACACAAAGCTTGATGTTTTAATCAAACTGCTGGTATGCAATTAAGCCTTGCTATCAGCGCGGTCGATATTTCAGAGAGTATTCTTCCCGTCATCCTCCTTTTTCCCAAGGCACATTAATGCTTTTCACCTTTAAAGAATGTAGAGAATTTCTTACTGTGGGTATATTATAAATCGGCTCCTTCGCAAGGAAAATTTATACCTCGGAAATAAAATTCGATCAGATGACGGAGATTTTAAAGTTTTTATAAAAATTATATAAAAGCTTTGACATACTCAAAAGCTTCGACTGTGATACACTGGCAATCAAAAGTGAGTGCATGGTGTTTTTTGTTTAATATTTGCAATCCTTTTCAAGCAAAAATTTTTTGGTTATTTTTTTATAAAAATATGGTTCATGCTTTAATCAAAACCACATAAGTCAAACTTTCAAACTTTATACAGAACTTGCAAGTTTTCAAACATAAGGGACAAAAGTGTTGTAGAATAAAATACGCAAGACCATTTGCCATCAAAATTAAAAAAAAAAACATTAACGCTATATTTTATGAATTGCACTTGTTATATGGAAAAACTAAAAATTCCGTCGGCACAAAAGTCATTACAATTGAACGCGATCTTTTAGCCGTTTACTCAACATTTTTCTAAAAATTCAGATTAAAGAGTTCAAAATTTAGACGAAAATTTTTTGAATTTTCCTAAGTTCTGCATAAAGTTTGAAAGTTTGACTTATGTGGTTATGATTGATGACCATCAACCATATTTTTATAAAAAATAACAAAAAAAATGTATCATGAGAAACATTCCAGATATTAAACAAAAAGACCAACACCTCACTTTTGATTGCCAGTGTGTCCCAGCTTAAATTTTTTCTTTAATCTATTAGGTTTTACATACAACATTTTTTTGTGAATATCTGTACTAGGGGATGTAATTTTAATAGTGTATTACACCCATTTGATTGCTCAAAAGTTTATTTGGAGAAGTCTCTTCCTTTTTAATATGTATAAAATTAATGACTAAATGTCTGAAAGTTTCCTTTCTCTGCCGCCTGAATTTTAAAACTGAACACAGTCTGAATACAAAGCAACTTTGGCTGAGAAATCATATCGAAATTTTAAATGATGAGTCATACAAAAATATTTAAAATATTTAAATATACAATTAAATTATTTTGCTAAATCGGAACTATTTACTGATCGTTTGTGGAAAACACATATTTAGTATGTGCACATTGATATGTATATAAGTATGTATGTACGTATGTAAGTACGACAGTTTCAATTATTGCAACGTCACATTTTCCTTTTTAACAATTAGCGTACGCTTTCAAACTCACACGAAAAGTGGCAATAATTTTCTTGTGATATTTGTTTTTTTTTTTTGCTCACATGCATATGTGTGCACATACATAGATGCTTTTGTAAATATATGTATGTGTGTAGTTCAATTGAGTCACGCTTTAAAGGCGCTTAAATGCGCTCAATTGAAAATGAACAGGCACGAGCCGAAACGACAGAGCAAAT